GCCTCTGGCCCCTCCTCGCTTCTCCCCCACCTCCCCTCTCCCGCCTGTCCACCTGCGACCCGCGGCCGGGCCCTTCGCGCCCTGGCCTCGCTGCCCGCGCGGCGCGGGGCAGTTTGGACGGCTCCCCGTCGGCTGGACTTTCTGGGCGGGGTGGAGCTTTAGCTGGAAGCCGACTTTCTGTTGGCCAGGCGTGCATACTGCTACTCACATAGTCGCGTGAAAGTTCATTGGCAAGTCTCGATAGGAAAGTCAAAGGGAACGAGAATAAGCTGGTTCTCCCTATGGATAGGCGAAGCCCAGTACGGAGGACGAGAGCAAAGACGTGTGTGTGTGTGTGCGCGCGTGTGTGTGCGCGCGCGTGTGGGAAATTCTAAGGCCGGCTGTGAACTTTAGAAACCAGAAAAGTTGATGCCGATGGAAACTTTAGAAGCCGACGATGAGTAAGCCGGGGGTTGCGTGATCTCACTCCTCGTCTCATAATTACTAGGTTAACGGTGTGGCTCCGGTCGCGACGGAATGGGGTTTGTTGACTGGCCGGCGTATTTTTAGCTTGTCGGCTCGCTAGGACCCGCGCCCTGAAGCAGTCCGTCTCACGCTTTCTCTGCGCACAATACAGTTAGGAAAAATTAAGTTAAAGGAGCTGACTGATGAACTGTGTAAAATTTCCCCCAAAACTTTCAGAGAGTTCTCTTGAACGGAAAGGCAAGATTCAGGACGACTTTGGCTTTTGTTTTTCTGTTTATAAATATGTGTATAAGGTGCTTTATTTAGAAAGTCAGAAGCTGGCTGTTTTTCAGCATTGGACTTCTCATACTGCAGATGTCGGATTTCTTTGAGGAGAGCGAATCTCTTTGTCTTTGAGAACCTGTCCCAAAGGTGGAACAGGACAAATTAGACAAGTCCACAAGGGTAGCTAATCCTTAAATCTTTCAAAAACATTTCTATACTATATAACTTAAAAACAAAATCACTTAGAAAATGTTCCTTCCTGGGAAATGAAACTGCATTCCTGATGGGGTGGAGGGTAGAAGAAGCGGGGACTTAAGCTCGGTGACTAGAGAGAATCAGACTGTAGTTACAGCTCGGTGACTAGAGAGAATCAGACTGTAGTTACACATTTGCTGTGTACAACTTACAAATGAAGACATTATAAGCAAACCATGAAGAATTAATTATACTCTTTATCCTCATTGTGTGCCAAACAGTTGTTTTAAAGTTTAGTAACCAGCCTGCTGTGATGTTCTATTGATATTTGGAAGTCTGAACAGAACTGTAAAATAAATGAAATCGATGCTGCTCTTCTGCAGACTGGTATTCATACTGTTCTAATTTCCACTAGCTACCCAGCATGCCTCAGAGTACCGCCCTGAGTAAGTGGCCAGTTACTATGTACTTAGAGATTGTAAATGAATACAAATATTAGCCCATCTGAGGAATAATTGAGAGAATAAATATATATGCCACACTTGTCATTTCCACCATTTTCC